TCTTGTTAAAGAAGTTCAAGGACGCTGGAGTTAGGAACATCAATCGTTGTGTCGTCTTGTGACAACGACTGTGTTCCCCAATGAAATCAATCTGATTTCAAAATGGTTTTCAGATTGGTCTAGTTCAATGAAGTCCTTTTCTGCGAAGTCAAGTCGTACTCTAAATCCTTTGAGTTGTGATTGTGGACGGCATATCGGTTGTGATTAGCCATTCTTTGTTCGAGTGTGATGGGATCATTTTGTCTTTGGATGTTCGTCTTTGTTGTTGTGTGTTGATCTATATACTGCAAGGTATAATTTACATTTTATAAAATTACATTAGTTCGAGTTTTTAATCATGAATTTAGTTAGTTGTTTTCACAAAAGTCTGTCGAGAATATCTTTGAGCCTCGCAAAAAGTATTAGAGCATGCGAAGCCTTAGTCGTCTCGACAATGATGTACAACACAGGCGGCTGAACTGGGACGTCAAATTACTAACAGAAGCTAGATGTTACACAAAGATCTCACCTCCGATTCTTTTTAAACAGCAAGTGGCCTAACCAGATATCAAATGATTCCATATACAATTTATCGAAAACAACTCGACTTTCTTCTCGCATAGAAAAATTTCGTTGGCTTCAGTTCGACCAGATTCTTTGTGAGCCTGACACTTCACTGCCGAGACTTTCCCTGTATTTTGCTGTTGTTAGTAGCAAGCATTTTCCAGGAAGAGAAGGGCTGCTTCAAATAACGTACTGAAAATTCTCAAGCACGATTTGTCAAGACGACAACTAAAACTAGAAACTGAAGAGATACTCAACTGCTCACTAATCACGCGTCTGATCCCAATTTTTTAACCGGCGTTATGACTTTACGCTGTCACGCCGCGTTAAGTTTTGTAAACAGTAATTGATCGATTTATAATTGATCTTTTTTCTAACCAGATTAGCTAAACCTAGGTTATTTCTTTTTCTAGGTCGACCAATTTAATTTTCCGAGCTCTCCTCCTAAAGCAGGTAAAAAAAAGCATTTTTGAAAAAACAGGTCATAAAAGCCATTTTTACGCACTTTTTGAAAGTATTTGACAAAAAATTGCGTTTTTTTGGCGCATGCTCCCCCTCAAAGTTAGTATAAATTGGCGCCATCATGAATTTTGGTGACAAGAACGAATCATGATCATTTTGATCAGGGGCGGATCTAGGATTTTCTCGAGGGGGGGGGCGGAACTTCAAAACTTTTTCCAAATTTTTTAAACTTTTTTAGGTCGACCAAATTGATTTTCCAAGCTCTCCTAAAGCACTAAATAGTCCCTGTTTGGCCATAATTTCTGCGCCACAGACAAATTTTTGAAAAAACAGGTCAAAAAGCTTTTAGGCACTTTTTGGAAAATTTTGGCAAAAAAATCGAGTTTTTTTGGCTCGCTTTACGGCTTCTTTAGAAAAATATTAGGGTCGGTCGACAAAAATGGATTTCTTAAAAAGTACCAAAGGGGTCACCCTTTGGGTCGACAGGGGGTTGAATCCCTGAGGGGAGGCGTACGCCACCCCCCCCCCCCCCCCCCCCTAAATCCGCCCCTGATTGCAAACATTTTTTGCTACCCTTTTATGCTATCATACTGAAGACATGTAAAATAAACGTTATCCGTTTTGCGGTTGACAGAGAACTGATTATAGATTTTTTTTCTAGAAATTTTGTTTTTCCAATGTTAGATGAAAATTGAAAAAACTCTATATAGACAACACCAAAATTTAGATTATATAAAACTTCTATCGAGATAAACAGCCTTTGTTGAGTACGGGTAAAAACCTTGCAAAAAGTATGTACTCTTTCCAACGAAACTATTGGAACTTTTTATAAGTATTGTTGGGTATTTCTTATAATAAAAAGTGAAATTTTCTATATAGTGGTTATAGTGTATGCACTGTAAGCAGAAACTTCCGAAACATGGCGATTTTCCTCCTTATTTGTTGTTTTTGGCCTTGGGCTCTGACGTTTTTTTTCGTTTCTAATGACCGCATCAAGCACTCGTACTTTTTCTTTTGCACGAAAATTTCTTTTAGCATCAAGAAAAGAATGAAAATTAGTCGACAATAAAAACAAAATGATCAAGAAAAAACGTGGAGCTGAGCATGGAACCAGCAGCCTAAAAGTGTTTTTTTTTTATGATTTGATGAATTAGTACTGATTTGATTAGTCAATTTTAGAGTGTTAAGTTCTCCAGTCTTCAACAGAATTCCAGTCTGGCTGGTCCAGGGGATGAAACGGTACTAATCGGAGGCCAGGCCCCATCTGAAGAAGAATACAATGAACTACGTTCTTCAGCAGATTTTGCGAGACACTAACAGCTTGCTTTCGATTCAACTGTTCTTCTGCAAGTCGTTTGGGAACGATGTGTTCTATACTTCCCCACTAGTTGATCTGTTCAAACGCCAGGTAGATCATTAGAATGATTTTGATTGAGAGTTAAAGGGGTTTATGCCCAAAACAGAATCCGACATGAAAAACCGCAGCGACATGGATTCCACAGTGCAATCATTTTCAATTTTATTGATTAGCATCCTACAAACCGAACAGCTGAAGCGCCCTATTGCTCGTAAGGTTGCAATGCTTTCGCATTTGTCTACCAGCCCTGCGTTCAAAACGGAAAAGCTGGAGGAGCAGGTTTCAAAAGTTCACCAGAAATTGAACGCATACACGTACGAAGAGTTTCTGCAGAGAGTGCGAGATCAACAAGGTTCACAATGTTACGTGCACCTGGGCTGTCGATTCAAGTTACATTTCTTGCTCAAAACAAAATTGGACAACCAATGACCTGAGGTGGTTCATCATGCGTCGAAGCTGCTGAATGATAGATCAAAAAAAAACTTGCAGCCGCTTGAGACATCGACAAGCAAGAACCATACCGCCAAGGACACCAAAAATTCTCCATATGAGATTCAAAAAGAGTTGCAGAGTCGTGTATTGACTCACAATTGGGTCGGAATATTTGATTTGAAATTTCGCATCATTGGAAGAGGTACCTACGTTTTTAGTGATTCAATAAAATTATCCTTAAAAAACTCAGTTCTGAATCAGTAATTACACTTTATTTTTTACTATGTTGGTGTTTTTGACTTGTTGGTGGACTACCAAGGTAAAGTAGTCGCCCACATTATTTGAGAAGCAGTACTGCCTCCAACCAAGAGACCTCAGTGAATACTTATTGGAAGTTGCGGGACCTCCTGGGCGGGTGATCGACGCTTCAAATGAGGGATGCCCCATTGCGAAAAGGAAAACTTGACTGAGTCGTTTAGCAAACCACGCCACCCAGAAGCAAAACGAGGCCAAAATGAAGATTGCAAATTTTTTTTTCGGCATAGGTGTAAAAATGGTCATACTAAAAGTCAGGAGAGACATTGTTCTTTTCGAGCTACTGCGCTTTGACTATAAAGAGAAGGTTGCTAAAGCGGTTTAACCGCAATTGAACACGACAGCAGTGGAACAAAAATGATTCTGAGCCAGCCTATTAGATGGTTTGATTGTAGTTTGAAATGTTTAACTTATTGTTTTAGCTACCTCATTTTAGCGTGCAGTTAGCCGGGTGTTTAATTGACTGCTTTTTATAGTAAGCTTAGGTCCAGCACAACACTGGAATAGGTTCCGTGGGGAGCGAAGAGGAGTGAGGCAGAGTATTTTCTGACTCAACGACAGACTCAATGACCAATATGCGGGGACCTATGCACCTATGCCAACTCAACGACCAAAACGGGTACCTATGCCGACTCAACGACAGATTCAACGAAACTTAGAGGATCTATGAAGACCTAACGACAGACTCAACGACCAGCACGGGGAGTTCAACTATTTTTCGTCCATTCGTTTGGGAATGCGATGTTCCGTATTGCCCGCTAGTCGATCACTTCAAATGCCAGTTAGATCATCAAAATGTTTTTATGGGTGTTAAAAGTCATTTTATTTTATCAAAATAGAACCCGACATAGATTCCCACTGCGACATGGAATTCATTAGGTAATCATTTTTTAAGATTAGCATCCTAAACCTGGAGCAGCAGGAGCGCTATCTCGCACGTAAGTCTTATGCTTTGTCTACCAGTCATACGTTCAAAATGGAGAAGCTTCTGAAATTCGCCAGAAATTGGACGGACACACGTACGAAGAGGTTCTACAGAGAGCGCGAGACGACAAGATTCACAACTATACGTGATATTCCTAGATATTCGTTCAGCAGATGACGACATATCCTGGGCTGTCGATTAAAGTTACATTTTTTGTTCAAAGCATAAATGGGCAATCCATGACCTGAAGAAGGTGATTCACCATTTGTCGACTTTGCTGAATGATAGACGACATCGAAAATTTTCCAGCGAAAGCTTTCCATATGAGATTCAAAAAAGTTGCAGACTCGTGTATTGACTCCCAGTTGGATCGGCGTGTGTGATTTGAAATTTCGCATCACTGGAAAAGGTTCTTATGATTTAAATGACTGAAAAAAGTTATCGTAAAAAAATTCAGTTTGGAATCAGTAGTTACACTTTATTTTTTTACTATATTGGGTTTTGACGTGTTGATGGACTACCACGGTAAATTAGTCACCAACAATTTTTGCCAAGTAGTTCTGCCTCCATCCAAGAAACCTTATTGAATACATATTGGAAAATGCGGGACTTCCCAGGCGGATGATCGACGCTTCAAATAGCGTTGTTTTGTTCTTACGTCGATAAGCTAAGATGAAACAATAAAATTAGGAGAGGTTTATCGAAGTTAGAATTATTTTTGAAGCTTTGAATTCCTGCCAGACTTCCTAGGCGGCTGCTTTCAGGAACTCCAGGTTTTCCCTGGACCCTTTAAGTTCCTGGCAGAAATTCTCAGGTTCTTTCATGTCTAGGTAACCCAGGCTGATAATGTAAATTTGCTTTGAAAACAGTTATATCTTAATGATCAAACAAGTGATGCAGTTCATTAACCCTAAGTATGAAAACCTCGCAGATAGACGAAAAATGTCATAAGAGTTTTGAGGATATCTGAAAAGTTGTTAAAAGTTGTTGACATTATGTTTTTCCCGAAATAATTTCAACTCTTCAGTTTTCGTTTTTTGTTATTATGCGTCTGTGTAATTGAATAGTTAAATTGTATAATTGGTTACCTATTTTTAGTCCTGAGTTTTCTGTTAAAATAGTTTTAAACAGTACATTTCTCGTGAGTATCTCTTTCGTTGAGGATGACTTCCATTTTGAAAGCACTCTGCTCTGGATAAGCGACTTCGCCGTGTTCTTTGAAGTCCAGCCCTTCCCTCTCGGTGACTTCAGAGACCCTCAATAGACCCCAGAATTTGAGTCCATAGAACAGAGGTCCTGTAGTTATCACAGTCCAGACAGTGATCGCAATACCACCGATCATGTTCCAAATTAGAACTGGAAATGAGAAAAACGCTCAATAATTAATTGATGAAGTGAGTTTTGCAATGATTTCTTATGGTTATCACTTTCTATTACAGTTGAGAACTAATCTGTTATTTAAATTCTGTCAAAACATTATGAGGCCAAACTGTGCACTGGATAGGTGCACATTTTTGTGTCTGTATGTTCCTGGATTCCAGAGACAAGTCTCTAAATATATTCCAAAATGTAAGTGAATTCCACAAACAAAATTTCAGTGGATTCCGCATACATATACCAGTAATGTAAATTTTGTCGGCAGATTTACTTTGTTGCGGATTCCGCAACAAGCAAATATAACTAGTTTTTCTGGATTCCGCAGCTGTAAGTGGATTCCGCAAAATGTAAAATGAATCCGCAAAATGTACAGAATGCAGTTTGGCCTCGTAATGAAAACTTTTTTTATAAATTTCAAAAACAACGAAGTTTTTTTATCACATGCCAAATTTTTTACTTAATTTGCGCAATCCAAATTTCTTTTAATTTTTAAAAAACCTCCCTTGAATTTATACGGATAAAAAATGAATTAAACGCATGTACCTTTGAAAGAGTGCGAGTCATAAAAAAAGATAATTCCAGTATACTTATTGAAGAAGCAAACTGTCACAATTCCAATCACACCCCCTCCATAATGCACCGCAAATGCGTCGAGAGGATCATCGACCCCCCATTTGAACAAGAGTTCGCTGCACGCGATAAAGGCGAGACCACCCAAAATGCCTGTAATCAAAGCAGTCCACGCTGGTATAGAATCGCAACCAGCACATGTTGCGACCATACCAGTGAGTATACCGTTTATGCAGCCTAAAAGCGTGAACTTTTGTTGATCATGTAGTGAATGAACACAATTGTAAGTCCGCCAGCTGAGCCACCAAGTATAGTTACGTTGAGTATGTGTGCGATGATTGCACCATCGCCGGGTTCTGAAACTCTCCCGTAAGCGCCGCCGTTAAAGGCAAAGAAACCCATAAAAAGAATAAATGCGCCCAAAACCGTCATTGGTACCGTGTGACCTTTCACTCTTTTTCGGTTTCCGTCATTGAACTGTTCCAATCGTGGTCCCAAAGAAAGAGTGCCCATTAACGCTGCAGCTCCTCCCAACATGTGAAGAACACCGCTTCCTGCGAAGTCACGATATGCCACGTAATCCCACCAACAACACGTGACTAACCACCCATTCGGAGCCCAAGCCCAATGTGTTGCTATCGGGTAAACAAACCCAGAAAGTGCAAGACTGTATATAAAGTATGCACCAAATTTGGTTCGTTCAGCCATGGAACCCGAAACTATTGTCGCGGCTGTAGCGGCAAAAACGAAATGAAAAAAGTAGTGAGACCCTTTAGATGGGTCAAGGTCATAAAGAAAGAAGTTCTTGAAGCCTATAAACGAGTTCGACTCTGAGCCGAATGCGAACGCGTATCCACAAGCCCAGTAAATAATACTCGATATAGAGGAATCAAGCACATTTTTCATGAGGATGTTGGTTGTATTTTTGGATCTGACTGTGCCCATCTCGTAAAAAGCGAATCCAGCCTGCATGAAGAAGACCATGATGGAAATAAGAATGAGGAAAACATCGTTCATATTTTGGGCAAATTCCTTCCATTGGTAAGCAGTTAAGCTAAACTCATTCGAGTTTTCGTCCATATCAATCAACGACATAGTATCTTGCTCGATAAAAATGAATTGCTGACTGCTAGCGTTCAAAAATTTTTGTTAATATGATGAGGGTAGACTAAAACACAATTGTTTCTGGTTTCGTACGCATTGTTTTTGTTTGATGCCATTGGAACTTCATCAAGAAAAATACTTCTTATTTGTTGATTTGGACTTAGTTTGAAAACTGAAACACTGCCATGAAAAATTTTCAAAACGAAGAAGTAAGCAAAAACTAACAGGAAGAATTTTCTGGAAAGATCTGTAATATGAGCCACGTTTTATACTAGGTTGACCTTTAAAAAACAAATATGAGAAGTCCATTATTTTTCTTATTTTACCAAAGTCTACAGAAATTGCAAAATGATGTGCAATAACCCTCCGAGCTTTTTGGAAATTTACTGAGAGCTGTAAATCAAATGAGGTCAACTCAAATGAGGAAAAAAAGCTAGACAAATTTTTTGCCTGTTTTTTCGAAATCCCCCTTCTCACAAAACGTTAGATCTGCCCTGCTCCAGACAAAAAAAAACATCATCAAAATAATTTAATTAAAACTATTTGATATCAAACAAAACTATTTGTTTTGCATCCGAAACCAAAAGTTCAAAACTTCTTATGGTAAGGGGCTTTAACACATTACCTTCAATTAAAGCGAATGTCTCTGATTGTTGAATTTCGGGTCTACTTGCTTATCATAATCTTCTCTTCATTAAAAGGACTTTGTTCACAAGCCATATCATCAAAGCTGTTGAAAACTCATCATATGGACTCAACCCTGGACCAAGGTTATCAACGGATAAATGCGTCGACTAAATTTATTTAATTTTTCGTCAAAACTGCTGACTTTAAACTGTTGTTTTAGTTGGTTTTTAGTGAGTTAGGACCGAAGTGGTTAACTCATAGAGTAATTTCGGATAGGGTACACCGTCTGCTCGTCACGCTATCTTATTTTCGGCCGGATAGATTCGTGCAACTTCTTAGTCTAATACCGATCCTAATCTTACTCTTATACTATCTAGTCTCAGGTTGTTTAACTAGTCTCTGCTAGGCTCAATAGATCTAGGGTATACTGGTTTATTGCGGCTGCTGAAGTTCCTTTGGAGAGGCAACTAAATTCTAAGTTAAATTCAAATCTCTCTGGTGCTGAAATTACAAGTAATTCCAGCACTTACAAATAAGTGGGTTGTTAGTTAGATGGATCATGATTGGTTAATATTAAATACTTTACAGTGGTAAAATATCTAATTTATCCAATCATAAAATGTAGTTTAGATCAGGTTCCACCCATCCGGGTTTTACAGAGTTTTTTAGAATAGTCTTTCTGCAATTCAAAGGATGGATGATGGACGTTGGTATTTGGCGAACATCATATTTCTTCTGGGTTCTCTTGTTAGAAAAGTTCCAGGTTCAATCGCTGTGTCTTCTCATGACAACGACTGGGTTTTCGCAACAAACTCAAATCTGATTTCAGAATGGTTGGCTATGACAGGTTTTTCTGTTCCATGTAGAGAACTTCTTTTGGGTTGACCTTGTCTGGGAATGGCGTGGAGATTGTGCGTGGAGGGGATGCCTGGTTACTCGGATCTGTACGTATACTTGAACATCGAGGTGGTCATTGTTCTAGTTCAATGAAGTCCTTTTCTGCGAAGTCAAGTCGTACTCTAAATCCTTTGAGTTGTGATTGTGGGCGGCATATTAATTGTGGTTGGCCATTCTTTTTCGAGTGTAGTGGGGTCATTTTGTCTTTGGATGTTCGTCTTTGGTGTTGTATGCTGATCTATATACTGCAAGGTATAATTTACATTTTATAAAATTTTTATTAGTTTGGTGTTTTAATTATGATTTTGGTTAGTTGTTTTCACAAAAGCTTTTTGTTTTAGTTCGGTTATTTTGAAGAGTTACTCACCCTTGAGTACCTCTTATTAAAAATAGAAGTGTGGTCACAAAGCGTGGATGTAGCGCGGTGGGTTAGGCCGGCTATAGAGCATGCTCAGGACGTCCTCTCTGGTGGGTTAGGCCAGGAGTGGGAGTATGATTTCGTGCGGTTTCTGTGAGAGGTCCTGTTATGTGATAACTTTTTATGTTGGGTTTATTGTGGTTTTTCTTATGTTTCGTTGGTTGTGTCCTTTTTTCAAAAATCAAATTGTTTTTGGTATGGGTTTGTTTTTCGACTTTTTTGTGTTTTATTATTTCTTTCTTAGACTTTATAATAGTCTTCAAAAGAATAAATTATCCAGTTTTAAACTGGGTTAATCCGGTTTGGGTACCGTTGGTTTCCTTTTCTTAGTCATGCTGTTATTCTATGTGTTGTGGTGTTTAGTAAGCTGCGTTGGTTAGTTTTGTTTAGTATATAATTCCTTTCCAACCGGGTTAAAGGAAAGTTTGAAACTTGTTATCGTGTGTTAGAGTTGTTGAGTGTGAAAGCTTGAAACTGAAATTCATTATTTAAACAATCCTTCGTGGGCGAGCTGTGCGAGTTTGGATAGAATTCTTGTGCGAGTGAATGGAAATATCAAAAGGTTAGTACTGCATTTTCGTCTTATCAATTTACTACATAGAATTTCAATTTTACTGCTAGTTTTGGGGAAAAATTAAGTTACAAATTTTCATCATTATTAGAATTACTGCTTTTAGGGAAATAATTTATAAATTAATTTACTACATTGGTATGAATTTTATTTAATTTAGCTGGTGCAAAAGATTATTAGAGTTTTGAACAATTTGAAGAAGTTTTCTATTTTTTATTTTTCTTTTGTGTATTTTGCAGATGATCGTGAGATGAAGACTAAAAATCTAAATGAGACATGGATAAAGAATGGTTAGTTTTTTAATTTGAATTTATTAGTTAAGAATATGTATAAATTATACTTACCTGTTAGTCGTCGGGGAAAAAACCATGGGGGAAGATGTCGTGTATTATGTCGGAGTTAATGAGTAATTTTGCTAGTATGCGAATGATGTTTTTAGTTTGAAGCAGTGGCCAAAGCAATTGAAGTGCTTTAATGGTTTTTAGTTCTTCGGTGCCTACTGCAAAATCATAAGGTGTGTTTTGGATGAGATTATATAATTTGTGATTGTATTTAGTGTTGTGGATGAATTCTAATATTGGGATTTCTATAGGTTGAATAAATTCATGTGGGATAAGGAAGGGTCTGGATTCTTCTGCGTTGAAGGTCTTCGTGATGGGACAAAAAATATACATTTGGGTTATGGGATCATAATTGCGAAGAATACCGTGAAGGTTAGTATCTTTGATGCAATATGTGAAGTTAAGAAAAAATGGTGAAGTGTACTTAGAGTTAATAAATTGAAAACGGTGGTGTGGTTGTCTTGATGGAGTGTGTAGATCAAAGTGATTTTGTATGAAGCGATAATATGTATATGTGTGGGTTTGTTTAGTGCGTAACATAATATCGTGTGAGCAGTGCAAATCTCGTTCATGTGGTGCAAGGAAATGAAAGGTTAGTGAAAATAATTGAAATTTTTCTTTAAAACTTTCGTAAGCTTGTGTGTCGGTTAGTGCTTCAGAAATGATGTGATCGAATTTGCGATCAAATATATTGAGTGTAAATACATATGGTGTTTTGATGAAGAATTTTTCTGTGATTTGTGGGTTAGCGAAACGGTCATCATCTAAAAATTGGTCTTGGTTAGCTCGGATGATGTTATGATCGTAATATTCTAGCGTGTATTCGTTACCTCGGGGTGCAGTGTGTGTTTTTAGTGACTTTTTATATCCTATATAAGTAAATTGTCTATGTGTTAGTGATGTGGTGAGTCGATATAGCATATCTTGATTTCTTTTTATTTCGATGTGAGTATTAGATAAAGGTAGGCAAAGGGGGTTAGTAAAATGATAATATGATGTCCAATGAAGTGTAGGCATTAAAACTTGTTCATCTACAAAACTGCGTGTGTCGTTAGTGTTGTTAGGAGTATTCAAAGTATATTGTGGAAATGAAGGTAAGGTGATTGCTAAAAAATCTTTCGTGTTAGTGTGATTTGGATGATTAATATATTCACGGGCTGTTCCTGGTTTTGTTGGAAATGGATGGTTCGGGAATTTTCTTTTGAAAGTGCGATAAGCTCTATTAGTGCTATTTGATGATTCGGTGGATGTGGATGATGGTGCTAATGATGCGGTATAAACTGAAGAGGGTGTAGGGGTAGGTGGGTTTGATGATTCTATTGTGGATGAAATCTGATTTATAGTGGGGTTTTCAAGGTGGAAGGGTTGTTGTTGTAGGGTGATAAAATTATCTAGTTCCTGGGAGATTTGGGGAGTATCTGGAGAATTGGATGATCGGTCTGAATGAAATGAAGAGTAGGTTGGGGTGACTTGTGAAGCATAAGAGGGTGTAGAAATGGATGGGAGTGGGTTATTTGGCGGGATTGGTTGAAAAAGGGGTTTTGAAAAAACTGAGGAGTTGGTTTGAAAATTATTGGATGGAGATGGTTCAGAGTCTGCAAATTCATCAGGGGTTTCAATATTTGGGTTATTAAGTTGTGAAATGGAGTATAAAACTGAGATATGTGAGTTAGTGTCTGAATTCATGCCTGATGTTACATTATTGGTTGGGAAATTGGGTGGTGGGAAAGCAAAAAGTGGAATTATTGTAATTGGAGTGTTGAGGTTGGTTGGGTGGGAATTTGAGCGGTGTAGGGATCCAAGTTGTCGGCTCATCGTGGGCTAAAAAAATTATTATTTTGAGACTGAAAAGCGGTGGTATGGGGTTGTTCTATAATTTGTTCATATGTATTTTCATCTAGTGAATGGTGTGTCATTATATGTTGAATGGGACTTTGTGATATGGTTGGTCTAAAATTTGGATTATGTGTTGTTGCTAAATTTCGAAAATTTCGTGGGACTAGTGATAATGGATGGTTATGTGGTAGGGGTGGTAACTGTGGTGCTGTAGGCGTTATGTCTACATTGTTATGTTCTTCGTCGTATGTGTTCTGTCTTGTTGCTATTTTTGTGTTGTATTCTTTTATTTGTGCGTCTAAAAGAATTTTGTTTATTGATGATGAAAAAATTCCAAAAAATCCTGCAAATAGTATGCGTGCTACACTTGCTTGTCTATTTACTTGTGTGTGTATAGCGCATGTATTGTAGATTCCTTTTAAGAGTGAAAAAAGAAATCCTATAAAGTTAAGCATTGCGTATAAAATAGTCCATTTTTCTAAGATGTAGTAGGGCCATCCTAGAAAATCGAGAATTTCATTTTTTAGTGTAACAAAGCTAAAAATATTTATAGGTGAAATATCTTGTGGTCTGTATTTTTCACCGTTTAGATATATATAGTCTTTAATGTCTTTAAAATATCCGCCATAATCTTGTGTATAAATATCTGCAAATCCTGCGGTTTCGGCAAGTTTGCGTAAGTTTGGGACAATTGATTGTCTTTGTATAGTGTCCATTTGTGTTAATAATTCTTGGAATTGTTGTGTTCTAATGTGATGTTGAATATCGGATTTTGAATATATATTCCGATTGATTGTAGGTCAATGATTGGGTTTCGAGCAATAGCTCTTATGCTTTCAGGTGAAAATTTTTTGAGTGATTGCATTAATGTGGGATATGGGGTAAGAAGGTAATATTTATCTTCATCAGGGTTCAGTTGAACTACATTGTGGCTATT